AAAGAAGAGTTGCAATTATCTCTGTTTGCAGATGACATGATTGTATATATAAAAGACTCAATGGTATCCATAAAGAAACTTCCTGAAGTAATGAATTAACACAGTAAAGTGGCAGGAAACAAATCAACTTACAGAAATCTATAGCATTTCCATATACAAAGAACAAGTAGACAGAGGGAACTGAAGACAGTCATCCCATTAATCATAGCCACAAAAAGTATAAGATACTTAACCTAGAAATAAATCTAACTAAGGAAGTCAAAAACCTCTAACAAGAAAAACAATGAAAATGTGGGACACAGAAATAGTTTTTACCTGTTGATGAGATGTATAATATTCTCAACTGGACTGCTCTCAGGTACATTTGATAGAGGGTAAATTCTCTTTATAAGCTAAATGATTTATAGTGATTGAATGAATAAAATAATAATAATAATAAAAGTTAATGGAAAAATAGAATTAAAGTATGAGTTTATTTTGGTGCTAAGAAACTCTACCTTGGAATCCATGCAAGGAATATTTCCATAATATGTATTTTCCATGAACTTTTGAAGACCCTTGCAGATCTGTTCATACTTTCTCAGCATTGCAGATGAAGGAATTAAGGTCACACAAGACTACTTAACACAAAACTACCTAACTGTAACAGGGATTGGCCAGAATCAAGCCCTTCCGTATCTATAACCATGTTCTGCCTATACACATACCCTGCTCCACCTCCCTTACATATTCTCCTAACAGATTTTATCTTTTTTTCACAGCATTTATCATTTGTATTTCCTGTTAAAGTACATAAGAGGGCAAGCCTTATCTGTCTTGCTCTTTCTTTTACATTCGATGGCTCCCCAAGGGCCTACCTCACGGTTAGGTGCCCACTATTTGTTAATTGAATGAACAGATGTACCAAGGTGCTGCCTCGCTCCCCCTACCCTAAACTTACTGAAACTTAGCACTTCAAAGCAGTAGCTTATGGAGAAAAGAGGTGGTAGTATCTATGAACAGCTTGAAATGATATGTAAAAATATCTGGAAATGTCCATTTTGTGTAGTCTGCAACTCTTATTAAATCCTCAAAGAGGCCCTTTTTTTTTTTTTTTTAGAGGTTTTTGCTATAGGGTGTATGTGCTCGCCAGAAAGACAGAGAGAGAGAAAGCAAGAAATCAGCCCCCAGGGGGATAGCCACTCCACAGTCCCTTCTCCTCCATTCTCCTCTCAGAATCTTGGGCATGCACGCACATGCACCTGGCATGAGTTTAAGCCACCGAGTCCACGACTCAAACCGCAGCGGACTACATGGGAGTTCAGCAACATAGCCATTACACTAACTGCTGGTCCCAAAGAAGCCCATATTTAAAAAAAAAAAAAAAAGTGGGAGTCACTGCCTTAGAACCAGGCTCCCAAAGAAGCATTTTACTCTAATATATTTAGGCCTCCTTTACAATACACTAAATCTTATGGCCTATATATATATATATTTTTTTTTTTTTAATTTGGTATAGTATGCCTGTGTTTACTACAGAGACACACACACACACACACACACAGAGAGAGAGAGAAGTGAGAAAGCACACACACACACACACACACACACATACCAGGAGGGATGGCTATGCTGCAATCCCTTCAATTCCATTCTCCTCTAGACATTTTCAGCAAGCATGTACATGTGCCCAATGTGTTTTTAAGTCACTGGGTTTAGAACTTGAGCCTCGCAGTTGGCCATGTAGATCCAGCCATGTTAACTACCACACCACCAACTGGCTCCCCTTTGCTTAATTTTAATTTCCCAAATTTATCTGTGCATTCTTTTGGCACATTTTAAGAACTTAAAATTTTTCATGCTCAGGAGCTGTAGTTACCCAGTGCTAAGGTGCTTAAGAGAATGAAGGCAAGGACCAACTACAAAGAAAATGACACCCAGTTCCCCACAAGCAGAGACAATAGATGTATTCATCAAAAATCCTTTGGCACAAATACATTCTGTTTATATAACACTCACCTTCTCGGCTGGAAGGATGTGTTGTTTCATGAAATATTTCACCTTAGTAAGAATTTCCTGGCCTTTCTTAGTCTGTGCAAACAAATGTCTGGTAGCATCACTCTGTGGTAACGTAGTATTAAAAGTTCTTTGTGGGGAAAAAAAAGGGTTACAAAGATGTCCAAAATCATTATTATATGATATGTGAAATCTTCCACAGCTCCCCCAAAATATCCCTCAGAAGGAGTTGACATACTATGGACTTTTAAAAAGTCTCTCATATTATGGGGACCAGCAGTTAGCGTAATGGCTATGTCACTAGACTTCCACGTAGTCGACCGCGGTTCGGGTTCTGGACCCGGTGGCTTAAACTCACGCCGGGGGCATGTGCGTGCGTGCCCAGGATCCCGAGAGGAGAATGGAGAAGGGATTGCGGCGTGGCCACCCCCCCTGGGAGGTGATTTCCTGCTTTCTGTCTCTCTGTCTCTCTCTGTCTGTCTGGCGAGCGCACACGCCCTGTGGCGAAAACCGGTGGGGCCAACACCCCTGTGGGCAAAAACCCCCAAAAAAAAAAAAAAAAAAAAAAAAACTCTCTCATATTATGTAATGTGAATGTATAATCATTTTATCTTGAACTTTATATTTTAACATAATTGATGCCTAAAGCACTTTTTACGGAAAACATATAAATCTGGCATGACTTGAATTTTAATTGACGTTACATTTCAGTCATGTTTCAGAATCTTTAAAAGAGGAAGTGGGGAACCAGCAGTTAGCGTAATGGCTATGTCGCTGGACTCCCACATAGTCGACCGCGGGTCACGTCCCGGACCCGGTGGCTTAAAACTCACGCCGGGTGCATGTGCGTGCGTGCCCAAGATCCCGAGAGGAGAATGGAGGAGAAGGGATTGTGGCGTGACCATCCACCCTGGGGGGTGATTTCTCGCTTTCTGTCTCTATGTCTCTCTCTGTCTATCTGGCGAGCGCACGCGCCCTACAGTGAAAATCTCTCCCCCCAAAAAAAAAAAAAAAAAAGTAAAAGAGGAAGTGAAGAAATTGGAAACAAATTTAATCATCATTCTTAATAGATGTCTCACAAATACAACTGTTGGCTGTCATTATACAAAAGATATTTAAAGGTCCTTATGAAGCACAACACAGATGGTTATCTTGTTTAGGAAATCACAAACATTCATCTGTAAGATGAACTATAAACATCAGTTGTTGTGGGGCTGGCCTTATAGATGGTTAAGGAAGCAGGATCCCACATAATTAACCATTGTTTGAATCCTGACCCCAAGGGCTTGAAAACCACAATAGTGTGCCCCAAGTCCCAAAAAGACATAGATATGGAGGAGAAAGGATTGTGGTATGACTGTGCCATATTGTATGGTGCTTTCTCCTCTCTTCCCATCTCTGTATTTCTCTCTTTCTCTGGTGAGTGCATGTACACACTAGCAATAGGAAAAACAAAACAAAACAAAACAAAAAACCTGTCCTAATGTTATGTCAAGGTACGTGTGGCTTAGGCAGCATTATAAATGCAGTCAGTAAATAATGGGGCTGTGACGAGAGAACTGTGTTAGATGCCTCAAACAGCGCTCCCGGGACCAGCAGTTAGCATAATGGCTGTGTCACTGAACTCCCATGTAGTCGACCACGGTTGGAGTTCCGGACCCGGTGGCTTAAACTCACGCTGGGCACATGTGCGTGCGTGCCCAAGATCCCGAGAGGAGAATGGAGGAGAAGGGACTGTGGCGTGGCCATCCCTCCTGGGTGTGTGTGTGTGTGTGTGATTTCTCGCTTTCTGTCTGTCTCTCTCTATCTGGCGAGCGCATGCGCCCTATAGCAAAAACCTCTCCAAAAAAAAAAAAGTGCTCCGCTGGGCGCCCTGTAGCCTAGTAGTTGAGGGAGCCAAACCTCAAATGGCTGATCGCAGTTTGAATTCTAGTCTTGCTGGCTTAAAAAAAAAAAAAAAATAGAAAAGAAAAGAAAAGGGCACATGTACTTATATGCCCCAAATCCTGACAGGATAGAGAAATGGAGAAGGGATTGTGGCATGACCATGCCCCATTGGAGGGTTCTTTCTCCCACTTCCTCTCTATTTTTATTTCTCTCTGGCAATTAAAGAAAAAGAAGTGTTCCACTGATGAAGACATGGACTTCAAAGACACTTATAAAATGTCTGAATAAAACTTCACAAAATGTGACAGTGGAAGAGAACAACATCAATTTACATAATATATAAGTAACTTGAGTGTTAGGAGAAAACACTGAAAGTTTTTATCTATATCCTTAATAGTTTGCACATTCACTTTGGCAAGGAAAAAAAAACTTTTTAATCATAAACACAGAGATTTTCTTTATATTTCTAGTCAATTCATTTTTAGGCATATTAGAGATTTACCATAAAAATGACTATCACTGCCAGCTGCAATCCTGGTGTAAGCTATATAAATAATTCCTATCCCCATAAAGTACACCAACTTCACATACCTAATAAAGGCTCTAATTTGTGTAAGCCAAGCAATCTGTCTTCCTTACCTTTTGGAGAGTTGTAATCCAGTTTCTGCCAGAGGGTGAACAATATTGGCAAACAGAAAGCTATCCTCAGATGAGTTATTTCCCAGAAGATACCTTTGATATACTCCCTATTAATAAATTAAGATAGAGCAAATAAAATGAAAACCGTTGGTTAACTATCCGATCAATCTTTCCGATTGCTAATCTGCATGAGGTACTATACTCACAGAGTAAAAAGGTATATATGAGACTATCACAGTGATTAATTTATATCCAGGGATATCATACCCCTCTAAATGGAAGAGTCATACCCATATCATCCAGTTAACAAGCTCTCATCATCACAGACTTATAAGTTATAATTAAACCAGACTTGAGAATGATCTCAGCAGCTACCAATGGTACCAAAATTGTTTTGTCACCTCTACAGATGACTGCCTTCCCTTCATAGTGAAAGAAGAAATCACAATAAGACCAAAAACTACAAAATCAAAAAGAGTAGGCAATGAGATGGTCTCTAAGGATATTTTATCTCATGTTTTGAACCCCTAAGTAACCTAACATTGTCTCCTTTGAATAATATTACCTGAATTCCATAATTCTCTATTTCTTTACTTCCAACACAATAAACCCTTCCTGTCCACCAAATGCAAACAAATGAATTTCACTGCTTTATTTTCTTTCTGTAATTTTTATACGATAAAACACTACAATCATTTACTCGTCATCATCAATTTCATATTTTGAGTTATAGTAGAATTAAAAACAGCTACACAATCTATGATGTATATGTTAATTTCAGTCGTAACTATGTCAAACTTTTATTTGAAATAAAAAATCATTTTAAACCTAAAGCCTATGAGGGGACTCCAAAAAGTTCAATGGAAAAATAGAATTAAAATATGCATTTATTTTTTAAATCTATGCATTGTTTTTTCATAATATGTCTTTTCCATAAACTTTTAGAAGATATCTCACTCCCTTCCATATTAGGTATGTGATTTATGGAAACTGATAAATATAGTTTGAAAAACTCACTCATTCAACATGATTAACTGAGAACACAGGATGAGATGTCACACGACTACTGAATGTTCCCTAGAGGGCATTTCAGTGGTTCAAGGATAGCATGAACTTTAAGGACAGGTAAAAATAACCATAATTTCCCTTAATTGTTTTTTTCCCATTTTTCTTTGTTTTTAAAATCTTTTATTCACTCCTGTTCTTCCTCTAAATCCTGACCCCCTGGTCTAACATCTTGACTTCTTAAACCTCTAAGATTCAAAGTATCTAGAAACTAGATTAATATAGACAAAAATATTTTTTTTTAGATTAAGACATAATTAGAAGAAAAAAATTGAATTTTTTTTCAATTTCTTCTCAGAACTAGGCACATAAATAGAACAATTAGAATATCAAAAATTGAGACCAAACAGTGGCACAGTGGTAATGCAATAGGACCAACATGAGAAGGTCCTGGGTTTGTGTCCCAAGACTGCTCCACACAGGAGTGGAGCATGTGTTCATGACCTGGGCTGGCTGAGCCTAGGGACGCGTTCTAGGTTGGGGCCCTCTGGAGGTTCCTGCCTCTGTCTGCTTCTCGTGCATGTGCACACACTCTCCATAATAAATAAAATAACTAGAAAAATACACGATAAGAGGCTACCATATTCTAATCTCTGGGAAATACAATGATAATTTCTCATTAGATCTGGTTAATAAATGGCTTTTTTAGTCTGAAGCAGAGATCATCAAAGATTTTAGCTTTTTGTTACATGGGATATTCAGGAAATGGCCAATTCTCACATGCTTTTCTCTTTTTTGTCATTATGTCTTTTTCTCTCCCACTCCACCTTTTAAGTTTATTATTGAGTTGTCGGGAAAGTCATGATGCATTTTTACATAGAAAAATACTTGTTGATTTTCCTGACAACCTAATATACAAAAAAAGTAGTAACACATTCTGCTACTGAAATGTTTCCCTTGCAAAAATTCCTATCCTATAAATTATGGGTGTATATTTTATTCATGTCTGACACTTGTTATTATGAAGGTCATAATGATCTAAGTCTAAAAAATATAAAACTTGGCCAGTAGGTGCTATAGTGGTTAAGGTGCTGGACTCCCACACAGCTGACCGTGGTTCAAGAAGCAGACCTAGTGGCTTGCTTTCTCACTTTCTCTCTTTCTCTCTCTCTCTCTGGTGAGCACACATGCCCTATAGCAAATTAAATAATAATAATAACAATTAATAAAATTTAATAAATAATTCTTAAAAAAAGAATATAAAAAACTTAGAGACCAGAAACAATTATCAACAGTACAACAGTAAATAATGGTGACATACAAGTTTAAAGATTTAATTACCTGTGCTATTCCAGCTATTTTAAAACATGAAAGGGCAAGAAAGAAATTCCAGTTAGGAAGAACAGGGTTAATCCCCCTGTAGCGACAATATATTGAAATCAGTTCTTCCATTGATGGTATCCCTATAAAAATAACACATAATATAAACTTTAATGAAACTTCCATGGTGAATATAGCAGAAATAAGAAAAAAAGAATATAATAATCATTAATCCATACGATAAAACATGTTCTAAATGGTGACTCCCAGAAGAACATTATAGATGATCTCCAATTTACAATGGTTTGATATAACAATTTTTCAACTTTATGATGGTGTGAAAATGGTACACATTCAGTAGAAATAGGGCTTTCAGTACCCAGACAACCATTCTGTTTTTCATTTTTAAAAAATTACATGAGATATTCAACACTATATTATAAAATATGTTTGTGTTAGATGACTTGGCTCAATCATCTAACTTATTTAAGTGTTCAAACATATTTAAGGTAGGCTAGGCTAAGCTATGATGTTTGGTAGGTTAGATGTATTAAATGCATTTTCAACTTACTATGGGTTTATAAAGGTATAACTGCATTGTAAGTCAAGGAGCATCTGTACATAAAAAGGATTACATTTTGTCGTAAATTACTAAAAGTAGAATGATAAGTTCAGAAAAATTAATAAAGAAAAAATAAATTAGAAACATTTGCAAAAAACAAGAACTACTTACTTAAAATTGCAATATACATATTATTTTTAATTTTTAAGAGACATTTTGGTTATTGGGGTGGCCACACCAAAATCTTTTTTCCTCCATTCTCCTCTCAGGATTTTAGACATGCATGCACACACACCCAGTGTGAGTTTCAAGCCACTGGGTCTGGAACTCAAACCACAGTAGGACATGTGGGAGTCCAGCATCTTAACCAATACACCACCTGCTAGCCCCTCAATACACTTTTTTTTTTTTTTGTAAAGAGGTTTTTGCTGTAGGGCATGTGCGCTTACCAAAGTGACAGAGGAACAACAGAGAGAAAGAAAGCAACAAATCACCCCCCAGAGGGGATGGCCATGCTGTAATCCCTTCTCCTCTGTTCTCTCAGGATTTGGGGCATGCACGTACACGTGCCTGGCATGTGTTTTAAGCTGCCAGGTCTGGGACTAGAACCGAGATCGATTTCGTGCGAGTCTAGTGATGTGACCATTATGCCATCTGCTGATCCCACAATATACTTATATTTTAAAAATACATCAGAGATAACTTTGTATTAGTAACAATTAAGACAATATTATGTTTTTATACCTATGACTCCTTGAATATGAGAACGTTGATTTATCATTGGAATTGTCCTTGGCCAAAAGTAGAACATGGAAAGATGAGCTAAGTCTGACAAAGGATGACCAATGGTTGAAAGCTCCCAGTCGAGCACTGCAATAACTCGAGACTGTAATTAAAAATGAAGAGGTCCTTAACATATTAAATCTAAAACGACTGAAAGAATGAAATAAAGTGAAACACATTCAAAATCACACTTTCCATCAAAAGCCATCTGAGGCCATTGTCTGAAGTCTTTACCCACAGTGGCACACATCACTGATGCAGTAAGCAATTAGCCTTGATTGTGTAGAGTCAAGTTCTCTGGTTCTAAAGCTGGCCTTAATATCCCCTACTGACGGACAGAGCCAAAGAAGCTGAAACTTCTTAACTGGGAATAATTGTGGTAAAGAAGAAATTCAAATAATAAAACACTTATATTTCAAGAATCCATGCCATGTCGTGTATAATTAAACATTGGCTATGGTGATGAATCCATACATAACAATTATTATACTATTATAGCAATACTATGCTTTTTCTTCATGGGAAAGAGAGGGAGAGAGAAAGAGTTTTGTCTTTGTTTTTGTTTGTTTGTTTGTTTTTAGGTTTTTGCCATAAAGCACGTGCTCTTACCAGAGAGAGACAGAGAGAAGGAAAGTGAGAAATCACTCCCCAGTGGGGAAGGACACATCACAGTTCCTTCTCTGTAATTCTCATCCTACAATTTTGGGCATGCACGCACATGTACTCTATGTGATTTTTTAAGCCATTGGGTCCAGGACTCAAACAGCAGCTGGTCATGTGGGAATCCAGTACCTTTACTACCATGCCACCTCCTGAACCTGAGAGATGGATTTTTTTTTCTTTTCTTTTCTTTTTTTTTTTTTTCTTTTGGAGAGGTTTTTGCTACAGGGCCTATGCGCTCACCAGAAAGACCATGAGAGACAGAGAGACAGAAAGCAAGAAATCACGCCCCCCCCAAGGGGGATGGCCACGCCGCAATCCTTTCTCTTCCTTTCTCCTCTTGGGATCTTGGGTACGCACGCACATGTGTGAGTTTAAGCCACCGGGTCCAGGACTCGAACCACAGTTGACTACATGGGAGTTCAGCGACATAGTCATTATACTAACTGTTGGTCCCAAGAGATGGATATTTTTGATTGAGTCTTGGTATGTCACAACTCTCCCAACCCATCTTGGCTAGCTAGAATTACAGATACACACAGCATGTTCAGGTTGGCCTGGGAACTGATCTCTAGCTTGCTATGTGGCTACCAGCCTCCCAAGTTCCCAAGTGGTGGGTCTATCTGTGTGCCACTGTGGCTAGGCCAGCAATAGTACTTTTTATTTATTTATTTATTTTTGGAGAGGTTTTTGCTATAGGGTGTGTGTGCCACCAGAAACACAGAGAGAGACAGAGAGACAGAAAGTGAGAAACCACACCCCATGGGGCATGGCCACACCGCAATCCCTTCTTCATTCTCCTCTTGGGATCTTGGGCAGGTGCACACACATGCCCGGCGTGAGTTAAGCCACCAGGTCCGGGACTCAAACCACGGTCAACAATGTGGGAGTCCAGTGACATAGCCATTATGCCATCTATTGGTCCCAGCAGCAATAGTGCTGTTTAAAATAAGTTATTTTTGGGCCATTTCCATGGCCTAATGGTTATGGCAGCTGAATCCTACATGGCTGACCACACAATTCAAGCCCCAGACCAGTGGCTTGAGAAATATCCCAGGTGCATATGCATGCATGCCCAAAATCCCAAGAGGAGGAAGAAATAGAGGAAAAGGATTCGTGGCATGACCATGTCCCATTGGGGGTGCTTTCTCCCTCTCTTTTTCCAGGGAGAGTACATGTGCCCTCTAACAAAAACAAACATTTCCTCTTGCCATCTGGTTAAGATGATCAAATGTAGTAAAATTATTTCACGCTGTAGATTAAAAAATAATAGTTATAAAAGATACTGTTTGTGTATAGAATACAAAATCCAGCATTATACTGCAATGTGATAAAACAAGCATTTGAAACCAATAGCACAGAAAGTTCCCCACCCCCCCAATATGGTACGTGTGCTCACCAGAGAAAGAGAGTGACAGAGAAAGTGAGAAATCACCCTTCAGATGGGAAGGTCATGCCACAATCCCTTCTCTTTCATTTTCCTTCTGGGATTTTAGGCACATACACACACTTGCCAGCATGATTTTCACTTGAACTGAGAGAGATAGACAGAAAGAGAAAGAAGGAAAGAAAGCATCTGCCATGGGGTATGGTCACATCACAATCTCTTCTCTTCCATGTCTCCTTTTGGGATTTTGGGCACAAGTGCACACACTCCCAGTATGTTTTTCAGGTCACTGTATCTGGGACTTGAACCATGCAGTTGGCCATATGGGATCCAGTCCTCTTAAACACCAAGCCACTGACTAGCTCAAAAGCTTTCTTTCTTTTTTTTTTTTTTTAAGAGGGTTTTGCTGTAGAGCACGCTTGAAGAGGTTTTTGCTATAGAGCACGTGCGCTCGGCAGTCAGAGAGAGACAGAGAGATAGAAAGCGAGAAATCACCCCCCGGGGGGATGGCCACTCCGCAATCCCTTCTCCTCCATTCTCCTCTCGGGATTTTGAGCGTGCACGCACATGCGCCCGGCATGAGTTTAAGCTACCAAGTCTGGGACTTGAACCGTGGTCGACTACGTGGGAGTCCAGCAACATAGTCATTACGCTAACTGCTGGTCCTGAAAGCTTTCTTTATTCTAGTTATAGAAACAGGTATCAAGGAAATATGTGTATGTCTTTATGTTATGAAAACAGGACATTCAGGTGAAAACATAAGGGGTGGGGTCAGTAGGTTGCCTGAAGGTTAGGGTGCTGGATCCCCCATGGCTGACTACATGATTTAAGATCTGGACATAGTCACTTGAAAAGCACACCAGACGTGTGTGTGTGTGTGTGTGTGTGTGTGTGCCCAAAATACTGACAGGAGACTGGACAAGGGATCAGGGCATGGCCATCTACCCTGGGAGTGATTTATCTCTCACTCTCTATCTCTCTCTCAGAGAACTCTGGTGAGTACACATGCCCTATAGCAAAAACTAAAAAAAAATGTAAAGAAAATACAAGGGGTATTCCACCAGGATGGATAAATGAAGGAGAATGGATAGTAGAAAATGGATGACCACTTTTCATTGGGAAGTACTTTTTTCTTCTTCCTCTCTCCCTCTCTGTCTCTCTGCCTTTCTCAGACAAGCACACACACACACACCCTCAGGTAATTAAAAAAAAAAAAAAAGAATAAAAGGAAGAAAGAGAAAGAAAGAAAGAAAAAGAAAAATATATATATATATTATGAAAAAACTATGAATGAATTTCAAAGATTTTTTTGCATCCCAACAAACTTTTCATGAACTTTTTGAAGTCTGCTCATATGTATGTGCATTATCTTTTAAAACAAAAGAAATACATATAATCTAATACATCTAATCTAGATAAAGAAGGTAGGGAGGAAAACAGATTTTTTTTCCTAAAAAAGAGAAAGCTAAGAGTGAGATTATTATATAAATTGAGTGTCATAGGTCATATGTAGTTCAGTGTGGATAGTAAAATTTGTTCTGACTGTTCGTTCTAGCAGACAAAATGAAGTGTGAAGCATGGTCAGTCATAAAGTTTATAGCATATTTAGTTTAAAAACAATTAGCTGGGGACCATCCCAGATGATGTAATGGTTATGTTGTTGGGCTCCCACGTAATCTTCCACCATTCGAGTCCCAGGCCCAGCAACTTAAAATTCTCGCTGGCCATGTGTGTATGAGTGCCCAAAATTCCAAAAGGAGAATGGAGAAGAAGGGATTGTGGTGTGGCCATCCCCCATCACTTTCTGGCTCTCTGTTGCTCTGTCTCTCTGGCAAGCGCAGGTGCCCTTGTAGCAGAAATCTTTCCAAAAAGAAAAAAAATTAGCTGTTCAAGAGACAACTTTTCTTGGCAATGAAACTTAAGAAAATATAACCCAGGTCAGCAATGGTGGCATAAGCAGTAGCATGCCACTTTGCAGTGCTGGAGCCACATCAAAGACCAGGGTTCAGATCCTAGTTTGACTTAAAACACACTGGGCTTGCATGTGATCCTGGCTGGCAGGAAGGCTGAGACTGAGGGAATTTTTGTGCAGAAAGCTGAAATGTCTTCAGCAATATCAAAAGAATTCCATGGGCCAATAATAATCCTTAAAAAAGGGCCTGTGCTGAAGGTGACAGAAAGAACAAAAATGAGTCAAGTAGTAAACGAGACCACATGCCGAGAGCTGGAGTCTAGACAGGACAGGAAACTGGAGAGTTTGAGAAGAAAGAAAAACATCAGAAAACTTTGTTTTAATAAAATGTCACAGATTTTGGGAACAGCAGATGGCGTAATGGTTACATCACTGGATTCCCATGCAGTGGACAACGGTTCGGTTCGAGTCCCAGGCCTTGTGGCTTAAAAACTCATGCCAGGCGTGTATGCGTACATTTCCAAAATCCTGAGAGGAAATTGGAGGATAAAGGACTGTGGTGTGGCCATTCCCCTGAGGGATGATTTCTCGCTTTCTGTCTCTATGTCTCTCTGGTAAGTGCACACACCTGATAGCAAAAAATCTCTCTCTCGAAAAAAAATGTCACAGAATTTACTAAAAGATAAAGTTGTAGTCTAGATGAAATTATGCAGCATAGATGTATCCCATACTCAAGTTCAAAGTTGGAGACTACAAAGTCAAGAGATGAGGAAATTCTGTAATGAGTAACCTAAAGTCAAGAAACTTTATCATTCTTGCATTATTTGTACACTCTCACAATCAAAAAATTATTACATAAATTGCTACTGAAGTTTAGTTTTTTTTTTTTTTTGGAGAGATTTTCACTGTAGGGCGCGTGCGCTCGCCAGACAGACAGAGAGAGTCATAGAGACAGAAAGCGAGAAATCTACCCCCAGGGGATCTGGTCACGCCGCAATCCCTTCTCCTCCATTCTCCTCTCGGGATCTTGGGCATGCACGCACACACGCCCGGCGTGAGTTTTAAGCCACCGGGTCCGGGACACGAACCGCGGTCGACTACGTGGGAGTCCAGCGACATAGCCATTACGCTAACTGCTGGTTCC